TAGTGGAATTGCTATTGTTGTTCTCCGTGGATGTAGAAATTTATCCCGAACCACGTAATTTGTGTTTTTTTTTTTATGTATTACTTTTATATTAAAATTTTATTATATTTTGTCTATCAATTTCACAAATATTTAGAATTTTTGTAATATTAATGTATATAAATATCTAATTTAAATCTCAAGTATTACATTAGAGGGAATGATATATATTACATCATACATGTCAAATTTATTTCATCTATAATATAAAATTTGATAAATATTTAATTGACATATTTTATTGATTTCTATAGTTATCAGTGACTATTAATGTTATGTCATACAAATAACTATCACAATTTAAATTATTCTTTAATTATAATTGTTTTATTTTTCTAATAAACCTATTAATTAATTGTATTTTTATAATATATAATTTTAAATTTTGGCAAAATTAATAATATTATTTTTTATGGGTCATTATATTAAAAAATTAATAATATTATTTTTTATGGGTCATTATATTAAAAAATTAATAATATTATTTTTTATGGGTCATTAAAAATAATTCTATCAAATGAAATTTTTTGTCACAATATTTGATATGAATATATATTTTTTTTGACTATTTAGATATATGTGACAAAAAGTAAGGCAAATTTGCCATGGAAGTATTTTGAAGCTAAATTGCTTCAATATTTTCCATGGAAAAAATTTATTGCTATTTTTCTATGAAAATAGATATGAATAAATAATATTTTTTATTTTTTTATTATATTATGTAACAACTTATGAAGCAATTTTGTTATATAACTATTTTATAGCAATTTTTCATGGCTATATGAATGTTTTCTAGTAGTGCACCTCTTCAAGGATCAAAGCTCCAAAATTCGTTAATTTTTTTTATCAAAGTCAAGGAAGAACATCCAAAGTTCATCCCAAAGTTTCAAGGTTTTCATTGCGTTCTTCACTGAAGCGTCAACTCGGCCCTCTTCGATCCGAAAGTCAAAGGGACACGCCGCCAAAAGTGTTATCAAGTATCAATTCCACCTCCTCAAAGATCAAAGCTGCGGATCGTCCAAAGAAGTTATCAAATCCAAAGTTGATGATCAAATCGCCCACACGGACACCGAAGCTCTCCAAAAGGCGGAAAAGGCAAACCAAATATCAAGGCTGCGGATTGTCCAAAGAAGACATCAAATCCAAGCCGATGATCAAATCGCCCCCCACGGAGACTAAAGCCCTCCGAAAGGCGACAGAAGCCAAAGCAAACATCAATGTCGCGGATCGTCCAAAGAAGACATCATATCCAAAGCCGATAATCAAATCGCTCACACGGAGACCGAAGCTCTCCAAATGGCAGCAAAGCCAAACCAAAGATCAAAGATTCGGATCGTCTAAAGAAGACATCAAATCTAAAACCGATGATCAAATCGCTCACACGGAGACCAAAGTCCTCCAAAAACAGCAAAGCAAAAGCGAAGATCAAAACCTCGGATCGTCTAAAAAAGATATCAAATCCAAAGCCGACGATCAAATCGCCAACACAGAGACCAAATCTCTCGAAAAGGCGGAAAAGCCAAATCAAAGATGAAAGCCTCGGTTCGTCCAAAGAGGACATCAAATCTAAAGCCGACAATCAAATCGCCCGCATGGAGACCAAAGCCCTCCAAAGTCCGGGAAAAATCAAACCGAAGACCAAATCTCTTCGGATCAAAGAAGCTATCGAAAACCAAGTTGGAAAACAAATCGACCTCGAAAGAGAATCAAATGACCTATTTAGAGAATATGACCCGCTTTAAATCCAAAGTAAATATAATTTGTACAAATTTTGTATTTATTAAAAATAACACAATTTTTTATCCACAACTTCTATTGAAATTTGATCACAATATTACATATAAATAAATAAATAACACAAATACGCAAATATATATTGTGTTTGTTTTGTGAGATCATTTAAACAAGAATTTTTTGATGTAAGGTATAAAAATTGTTGAGAGAATATAAAAATAATAAATGTGTGTGATATATTAAAATTTTAAAAAGATATAATGTATTTTTTTTTTTTTTTTTTTGTAAACGAATACATATTAATTAAAAAGAAATTAACTTGATTGGGTCGTCTCTTCGAATAAATCACCAAGATCTTGAGCTTCCCACCTTAACCATGGCATCAAATTCTCTGTTCCATTTTCCCTTGTTCCCTTTGTTGCCCAAATCAAATATGCCACATGGACGAGAGAATATTAATATAATTTATTTATATTTATATTTATATTTTATTTACTTGCTAGTTCTTAAAAACAAATTAAAATTTATATTCTAACTTAATTTTTATTTACTATTTTTGTATCTCAAGTTTTATTATATTATTTTATTTAAAAATATATTATTTTTTCAAAATATCATACTTAAAATAATATTTCATTCGTCACTCGATTGTGTTTTCATTTGGCCGGGCACGACTTTTTAAAAAATAGATAAAAATAAAGTTTTTTATTTTTTTCAGTAAATAAAATGTAGAAAATGTGGTTTTTGTTTTACTAAAAAAAGAAACGAGAATAAGGGGGTGTTTGGGAAAAACTTTTTTGAAGATCTTTTAGGTTATTAAATAGCTTTTAGCTCTTTGATCAGTCAATGTCCTTAATTGTCATTTTACATATAAACCGTTAATGTCAAACAGTTGTTTTACCAAATAATTTAATACAAACAATTAATTGAATTAGCTGGTCAAACCAACTAATTGAATCATGACAGCTAAATCTATCAGCTAATTATCGTATACGCATCCGAAATTTTAATTTAAATTTTAATATGATTTTCATTTACATTTTAGAAGAAAAAATTAAATAAATAATAAAATAGAAATATGTAATCATAAAATTTAATTATTTTTTCATAAAGCATTATATTACATTAGTGTATTATAAAATTTGAATTTAAATGTTATATATAAAAAAAAATTAAATTGTTTGTATAATATTTCATTATAAAATTGTATTTAAACAATATTTGAACATTATATCTTAAGAAAAATAGCAATAATATATTTTTTTATGATAATATAATATAATAAAAATTATGATATAAAAAATACTCAATAAAAGAACTAAAAGCTGAACCAGCATATGTGTACCTGTGGTATGTTCCAAATTAGTGGATATCCTTGCTGCCATGGAAAGGCTGCGATCGAGTACTAGAAACTTGTGGTGGAAAATTTCGTTGATGCCTGCTTCATAAAAGAAACTTACGTGGCAGTATACAGGGGCGGAACCACACGGCCATGAGAGGGGGGTCTAATTCTTCAAACTTCGAAAAGAACATAACTTACTTGTAATCCAATAATTTTATAAATAGAATTGTCATATTTGAAAAATCTTGCAAAATATCAATTTATGGCAACAACTACGTATTACAATATTAATTTTTGTATTATATCAAATTGATAAATAAAAGAAAAATTATTAAAAAAATCGCTCTTAAAAAATCATCTCATATTCATTTGATTGAGAGTTTTTTTAAGGTTCTTATTATTATTATTATTATTATTATTATTATTATTATTATTATTTCTTACCTTTTTTTCATATTTATTTCTATTACATCAAACCATTATTATAACTTAAATTTTTATTATTTAAAATTTAAAATTAAATTTCAAGATTTCAAATAAACACTAATAAATGTTTAGCCATTCTTTACTGTATTTTTATCATTATTTATATTATATATATAATAAAAATAAAAAATAAAATAAAAACAATGGGTGCGGGTGGGGAAGGGCCCCCTTTGCCCCCACTTACATCCGCCTCTGGCAGTATACACCAATGCGATAAACCCCGTCCTTGGAATGCATGAGTACGAAGAATCTATGCTTGGGGAGGTGGCGCCTCCGGTCGTGAAGGTTGGCACTGGGCATCCGAAAAAAGCTCGTCGGCGTGACGATAATGATGAGCGGCAGGACGATAAAACATCTCGACATGGATTGACCACTACTTGTTCCAAATGCTACTGACAAGGACACAATAGATGGATTTGCAAAAATGATCTTCCGCTCTGTAAGGTGGCTCTCGAACTTCTAAAGTGCTCTTTAATTCTCTGTTTATCATGTATAATTTCTTACCCTAAAGTGTGTTCTTGTGGAACACAACGACAGCTCCCACGAATCTGGCGAGAGATCATTGTTCCCAACCCAAACCATAGGTAAGCAGCCACCTCTGTTTGTTGTCACTTCTGAAATGTGTTTAACACTTATTTTTAACTAATGCTGCTCTTTAAATGGATAGAACACGTCAATGAAAGATCCCACCAATTGGCCGGACAAACACTGCTCCCAGTCCGAACACGTAGTCATCTCAGTTCTTAGGCTACTCAGTTGTTCTTATCTGGAAAATTTTTTTGATTTCGTTGCTACTTGGATGACATGGTAGGTTGCCTCTAACGTACATCCGTCACCGGATTGTGCACCAACAACGCAGTTGTCTCAGGTGCAACCGCAGGGTCCATCTGGGACGACAAACAGAAGTGGGGGAGTCGACGTGCATCGTTGGCGTCATTGCTCCGAAGAGTTCGGTTTTCACTCAGGCCAGGGCGTCGGTGGCCTTTAGGTGGTGCATCTTCCCGGGGTCGTTAGTGAGATTCTATCGATGTCTACTTCGGATACGTGCACGGGTACCCGGAGTAGTTTGTTATCATATGTGTTTGTTAGCATGGAACCAATTAGAATAGGATGCAATTGTGCAGATTAGCCCTGGAATTTTGTGAATCGGATCAGGGATATTATGTGGGTTGCTATATTATATGTAGATTACGGTTTAGATATTTTGTTTCGTGCCTAAGTTGTTGGAAGTTTTGTAAAATTGCACTGTTTGTTAGGGAATTAATATTTTGCCATGTATGTTGAAGTGTTTGTTTGGGTCGTATTGTTGTGGCTTGTGCGGTTGAAAGCTTAATATTATGGCTTGTTAATGAAGGTTTAATATTATAGCATTTTATTATGGCTAAGTGATTGGCACACACATTGTAATATATAAAAATAAAGAACGAGATGATATGCTGTCTACACAGACTATTACGGTGAATTGTATTACAAATCAAAAAAACACATTACAGCTACTGCCACAACTTTACTACCCCTGCTGTTACTACAACACCGGTACTTTACACCCACCTACAACTACAATGAAATCTACCATGCTACTACGAGAGCAGACGAACCATTACCAAATGAGTCGAAGATATACCAATTTCTTAAAACAAGACCTTCGGTATGGTAATCACCATAACAACAACCATGAGAAGCTTGACATACGTCAATGTTGTTCGGAAGGCTTTTATTTCATAACGTAGTTATTCCACAACCACCTTCACAATTGAGACATTTCATCCGCAACCCCCTTTGTTTCTTTGAGTAGCTCTCCGTCAAATGCAGCAGATTGAACCTCCGAATCGTTCACATCATCCCCATCATTGCTCCACTCGCCGAAACGAGTGCTCACAGGATCAAGCCAAGGGAACAAATCACAGGCTCCAACTCGGCAATTGCAAAATAATTTTCCTTGGGTTTTCTTCGTTGGACCGAAAACACGGATTTCCGCAACAGTCCCACACTTGCATCGTGGGCATCGATACCTTAGGTCAAGATTTCCCCGGCAAAATGAAACATTTTAACTAAAATTGCAGTCTCCTGATAGAAAACGCATTGCTATAGTACAATCTAAAAGTGATGGACAAAATTGTACTGAGACCAAAAAACATCTAAAAACATATTCCAGATTCAAGTTTTAGAAAAAACAAAAATGGCATAATGAAACAAAACTCCTACAAGTAAAGTTCAATTACCATTACATACGGACGCACCTGAAGTCTTTGGAAACGAACTGTGCGCCGGCAGGGTGGAGGCCGTTGCGGTAGGTGATGAAAGGCGACGGATGATCTCTAGAGAAAGAAGAAGCAGTGCGAATGAGAGAATGATGAATAATAAAATGGCGTATTTAAGTTAATAAACCCAAGGGGTAATTTTGTAACTTTACTCTCATATACATGACTTTCTGAAGAAAAAATCGTATTTTGGACGAGTGACAGACACTTGCCGTTAAGTCTTAACGGACAGGGTGTTTTCTGCAACATTTTACAAATCACGAGTAGGTTTTTTTGGAGTTTTAGGAGTTAAAGGAGAGTTTTCAACAAATTTGGTAAACCACATAGTTTTTTTTGCTATTTTATCTTTTTTATTTGAATAATGTGATATGATAAAGTATGGTGTGACAATTAAGTATAACTAATTATTTCATATTTCAGAAATATTGAAGGATGTTTGAGAAAGACTAAAAAAAATATTACAAGGTGTTTGAGATAAATGATAAATAATCTTAATTTAATTTTTAAAATTTTTCTGTTTTGTTTTGTTTTGTATATACTTTAACTAGTCGAACCAACCCCGTGCAATACACAATTATTAGACAATATACTATTTCTTTCTCATTTAAATTTATTATATGTTTTTTTTAGGCTATCAAAAATATATATATTTTTTATTTCTCTTTTGGTTAGAGGTGGCAAAAATAGGCACGATTCGAAAATCCGATTCTAACCCCGCACGAAAACATTGTGCTTGGATCTAAAAATAGGCTCAAAAAGTTTTCGGATCGTGCCTAGTCCGGCACAGTGAGAAACCGGGCCATTTACCAGGCCTTTAGATTAAATAAATTTTTGAATAAATACTTTTATAAATATATTAACAAGTAAATGTACATAAAATATTGAAAAGTGGTCTAATAGTTGAATGTCAATTATCAAAATTATCATAAATAATTTTATTAAATTATTTTAGAATATTTTCAAAAATAACTTAAAAAAAAATAAAACAATTAGAACCCGATTGGCTTGATCCAATATAGTTTGGAGTGGGCTGTGCTCGGGTCTGTCCCGTCAGGAAAAATCCGGGCCGACCTGATATTGCCACCCAAACTTTTGGCAAAAGTATATTAAGATTCTCACCAATATTTCGACTAAATCATGTTTAAATATGAAAAATATTTCGAATAAGAATAATTTATTTGGAAAAGATCTTTTCATATAAAGTTATGATATTTCCCAAAATTCTTTTGCAGAATCATATTTTTCTACTTTTTCTAATTACCGTCAAGATAATTAAAATATAAGTAGACTTATATATTGAAACTTCTCTTTAATCATTCATTAAAGGATTGTAAGCACTATGAATAGCTTTTGAAACCTTCGGAGTTACTAAATATCTTTCATTTTTTCTTTTCAAATTAAAAAAAGAAAGATTATTTTTTCCATCAAAAGATGCAATAGAAGCCAAACCTTTTTTTTTTTTTTTTCCTGGGTGAGCCCAAGTGAGCTACCTACGTACCCCAGACGGGAATGAATTCTTACATAGTTCTCCCGGAGCAAGCAATACAGTCAAGTACAAGCAACTAAGTACTATCAATGGTCAAATAAATTATCAATGGTCAGCTATTTATTCTTTTGGAGCAACTAAGTACGTAGGTAGTAGCCAACTCACAAACTCACACCACCCAAGTATGTTATACAAAATCACTAAGAATCAATGGTCAACTACTTACTCGTTCTCGGAACAGTTAGTTATGTGATAGTAGTGTCACACAGTTTCAAATAATCGAATATCAAGATTTAGATCAGAGTGTTAAATATCATAATTAAGCACACAAATTCAATCAAGAATACCATATTAACTATTTAACATATAAAAATTAAAGATTAGCCACTCGCTATCAAATTCCGGACAATAATAAATATTTTGATTCCAACTGTGCATAACGCACCTAGTTCTTGTACCACTATTAGGAATTATAATCCAATAAAATCACTGGCTTTTCCTACAACAAAAAATTATTAACAAGTTAGTGAATAAATAAAACTTAATATAATCATAATAATAACAAATGAAAAGAAGAAAAACAATGCTATAAAATATAAACGGAATCTGAATATTTTCATAGGCTTATATCACAACCCATTCCGTGTCAACTCCAAGTCATCCAAATGATGCAAACACCTCACAAAATGGGAACTTGGTTGGGTTTCATCATGAAGCAACCCGAAAACCCCAAATACTAATCCACAAGGAACATGATTAAACACAAAGCATGAAAAAGAAATAAATTGACATACATGAAGTAACTCGGGAAGAGCAGAAGCTGAGCCTCACAAACAAACATAGTTTTCAACAAAGAAACCCAAAACCCACTTTCTCAAATCTTCTTCCTCTCCCTTATCTCCACACGGCACACACATAACACATATATAGTTGTAGAAAAATAGACTGAAGCCAAAAATTAAGAAAACTAACTAACTGAATCGGCTACGATGGAACAAATTAAAACCGAAAAGAAAAGAATGAACCTGATTTGAATTGCGGAGGAAGATGATGGATATGTTTGAACTTGATGAGAATAGATTCAGTCAAGATAGGATTTGGGGTTGGATCCAATTTAAATCTAGAACTGGATCGGGTCACTTAAATTCGGGTTCGGGTCGATTTGGGTTTTGATTTGGGTCGGACTGTAACATATATCCAACACAATCAATTATACTCTCCCCGTCTTCTAAAAATGTGCTCACTTTTTATTTTTTTTCCGTCTTTTAAAAATGTTCTTATTTTTTTTATTTAGTAATAAATTATATCAATTTTTATATTTTTCTTACTATAAAAGACAAAAAGTAACAAGAAGTATCAATCAAATTCCACGCTTTAAAACCTGTTGTCTTCAAGTCTAGCGCTGAGTCCGAGTATTGTGCTCTTACTGATTCTACATTTGAACCTTTGTGGCTTCGTTGGTTACTATATGATCTTGGCGCCTCTCAGTCCTCGTCTACTACTCTTCATTGCGACAATTAGAGTACCATACAGATTGCGCATAATAATATCTTTCATGAGCGCACAAAACATATTGAGATCGATTTTCATTGTGTGCGGCAACAAGTGGTTGCCAAGACTGTTGTGTTGCATTCAATCTCCACTGAAAATCAACCAGCGGATCTCTTAACCAAATCTCTTTTCCCGGATCATTTCTATATTCTCTTCCGCAAATTCAAGTTGATGTCTACTACACCACTTTAGGGGGACGTTAGTATATATTTATATCATTGTATATCAATTGACCAAAACACCATTTGTACAAAATAGTTAGTACTATTGTTGATGTATTTTTTCAACAAAAATAAAGTAAAATTCAAAGATATAGAAAATATCCTTAAACTTGATTAATTAGTGCCTGAGATTAGGAATCTCTAAACACTGTATGGTACAGAAAATAAACTGGAAAATAAAAGACTGAAATTTAAAGTGGTGATCCCCAAATCTGACTTTGCTTTGTTGAAGTTGATTGAAGATGCCTTGCCAAATGATTATCCAAGCCTTTAAATATTCTCTGGAAACCGTACCGAAAACCGTCACCCGAACGGTTACAACGACTCCTTCCCAACCGTCTTCCAACCCTTCTCATGCTGACACGCGTCCCCAGCAGACCAAAATTATCCCTATATTTCACTCTTTGAGCCGACCACAGACCTTCCGCTCTTTTGGCCCGACTGCCAATCTACAATAGTATGGGTCCGACCGCCAATCCTCCCGACTTGCGAACCATCTGGCCTGAGGTCTTTCCACCTTGAGGACTTCCCGACCTGAAAACCTTCCGACTTGAGGTTTCCGCCTTGAGGACTTCCCGACCTGAAAACCTTCCGACTTGAGGTCTTTCCGTCTTGAGGACCTCCCGACCTGAAAACCTTCCGACTTGAGGTCTTTCCGCCTTGAGGACTTCCCGACCTGAAAACCTTCCGACTTGAGGTCTTTCCGTCTTGAGGACTTCCCGACCTGAAAACCTTCCGACTTGAGGTCCTTCCGCCTTGAGGTCTTCCCGACCTGAAAACCTTCCGACTTGAGGTCTTTCCGTCTTGAGGACCTCCCGACCTGAAAACCTTCCGACTTGAGGTCCTTCCGTCTTGAGGACCTACCGACCTGAGGTCCTTCCGTCCTAATGACTTTCCGTCTTGAGGACCTACCGACCTGAAGACCTTCCGACCTGAGGTCCTTCCGTCTTGAGGACCTACCGACCTGAGGTCCTTCCGTCCTAATGACTTTCCGTCTTGAGGACCTACCGACCTGAAGATCTTCCGTCCTGAGGTCCTTCCGTCTTGAGGACCTACCGACCTGAGGTCCTTCCGTCCTAATGACTTTCCGTCTTGAGGACCTACCGACCTGAAGACCTTCCGACCTGAGGACTTTCCTTAGTAATAAACCTATTTTCCTTGATTTCCTCATGGTACCCTTCAGTCAGTTCAATCAACTCTATTGCCAGGCCCATTCTTCTTTTTACCTTGGGCTTTTAACCTAATTCTAAATTTCGTACGTAACAACTTGCCCGCCGCCAAGGGACTTTCAAACGCCATTTAACAATCAATGTTTGGAAGTTCATAAATCACCACCCTCTTGAAAAACTCCCTTAGCAACTGCACCAGTTACTGCAACACTCCTGATTAACTTCCTTCTCCGCAATACAAGCTTTTGTGAATCACAATCCCAAAACACTCTAACCATGGCAGATCAATACATTCCTTCCCTTCCCTTCGACGGAACCCTCCCGGAGGGCCCATTTTCAGCCTCGAAAGTACTGACTCCGACGATCCGTCCATATTGCACTACTCCTGAAGATTCAAATCGGATGAGGGAAGTCTTGGAATCCCGAAATTCCTTGGCTATCAACAGCCCTAACTACCAAGCAGTTCGCATTCGAGACAGCATCAAAACCCATCTCACAGACCCAAAAGATCCTTACCGCGCTTGGTATCGACGGGTAGCAGAACACTTCCAGACCCAATGGCGTTCCCAAAAGATCGACCAAGCAATACTACTGTCCACCATGCCTATCAACCTGCATGAGAAGGTGTTGTTGGCCATGTCTGCCTTCTGGAATGTGGAAAATGGGACTTTCCTCTTCCCATCAGGCCCCTTTGGCCCAACTCTTATGGACGTTGCAATGATCGCGCATCTCCCAGTCGTGGGTGAAGACCCTGTAATGGGAGCCCTAGATGGGCAGGAGCCATCAGAAGACCATCCAGGGTGGTCTTTACAAGGTGTGAAGGAATGGGGTTGGACAAAGTTCGCAACCGACCAGCAAGGGGCTCCAGGGACCCCTGTAACCGACCGGGAGCATACTGCCTTTATCCTTTTTTGGCTTTGTAGGTACGTCATTGTTTCCCCTTCCAAATGTGTTCTTCCTTCTCATCTCGACCTAGCCATTCATATCGCGTCAGGTCGTTTTTTCTCTCTTGGCACCCTGTTTTTAGCCAATCTGTTTGAAGGACTCACTAGAGTTAGCCTTCGCTTAACAGATAATGATAATAGGAAATTAGACACTGCCGCGTCGGGTCCTTTTTGGTTTTTAGAACTTTGGTTCCGGCTCTACTTCCCCAACGCGTTTAACTTAGGATCTCCGCCCACTATGCCAACAGCTGAAAAACATTTGGGACTAGCCCTTAACCGACTCTGCTCAGGACGCAATAACCTCCAATCTTCCGATCCAATAATAATTGCAGTTTTAACAGATACCCGCAGTAATTCTCGATTTTCTATGTATAAAAAATATGCGGGCTATGCTCCCGACCATTTTTGGCCTTTTCCAGTACCAAATCCGCTTCCGACTCCTGAGCCTTGTCCTCATTCCACTTATCCTTTTGCCTGGGACGTTGCCCTCAAACCCAGGTCTCTTTTTAGTAGCAAAAAACTTGATAAAAAGGGGCAGAAAACCTTTTACACTTTTAATTATGAACCTCAATTCATGGCGCGCCAGTTCGGCTGTTGCCAAGGTATCCCTGGACCCGTCGTGTGTCCGCATATAATTTTTCAAAGCCCTGACCGACGAGTCCTACCGAATTCAATCCCTTCTTATATCTCCCAACTCACCACGTATATAATTTCCAATTCTTATATTCCTTTCCGCTCCAACCCTGAGACTGTAGATACTTTCAATGAATGGTGGTCGGTTGTATGGCCCCTGATTTCCCCTGATGAGGGTCGGTTGCTGAACATACTCCTTCCACCCCAAGGATTGGTTCTAGGGGCGGCTAGACACACTAGCACCCAGCCACAAACAGCCGCCCCGGGGACCGGATCTAGTGTTCCAAAACGAAAAAGGAAAGCTTCCCAGCTGCCAACACCCCCGACCTCTGGGGCCGACCAGCAAGCTCAAGCGGACCTTGGAACTGCTAGGACGTCAGCAAGGACCCGACCCCGACTAGGTAATTTTTCTTAAAATCGTGAACCAATTCACTATATCTTAACTTTGATTTCACTTATCATTCACCAGAACCGACCTTGGCAGCACCGACCACACAACCGACGCCAGCCCCAGCCGACCAACCTTTGGTCCCGACTGAGGCAGTTCCTCTCCAAACCCCTACTCCACTTCTCACTTTGCCAATGAGCAGTCGGGCGGAGGACCCGACGAGGAGGCAAACTCTTCCTCCCGCACCGAGGAGCGGTCGGGCCAGGCACCCGACCAGGAGGCAATCTTTACCAGCAGCGCCTATAGAACCTGTAAGTTCTCTCGTCAGCAATACTTAGAATTCTAATGACCAACTTTGATATATTCAATCAACAACATTTCCATGATTTTTCACAGACACCTTCACCCATCGGATCAGCAGCAGGGGTCTCTTCTGACAGCGAAGGAACTACTTCCCAGATGGGTCGACCGCCATACATAGCATCAGACTCATCCATGTCAAAGGAAGAACCAGCCGCCCTCGCCGAAGCTGACCCTCAAAACGACATCCCTGATGCTGCTGATCTCGAAATTGAAGGTGCCCCAGAGATCCCGGCTGCAGCGGCACTAGACGCAGCCGCCCAACCAGCAGCGGCGCTACCTCCAGCAATCGAATGGCAGGCAGAAGAACCACCTGTGGCAGCCCAACATCCAGAAATGGAAGAAGTTTCTTCATCCTTTTCAGAGACTTCTGTAAATTTGGTAAGATTAAACCAATCCATGCTACAATGTTTCTTTCAGAAACACTAACTGTTTCATATACTACTTTTCATAGGGACCCAGGTCGGCACCTCAGCGACCATTCGCAGCAGCCGACGAGTCGGCTGCTATCATACCAGCTGTCTGCCCTACTCGACCGACCTCATTGCTGCCCCCCTCACTGACAGCAGTCCGCCCAGAGGTAACACATATCTTATCTGAACCAAGTTGCACCTCCCTTGGAATACTTATTGACATTGTAGGACTTACAGGGGCCTTCGGACTTAGCTGTCCTATCGACTGTTCCAGTTCCAGCGGAGGCCCAGACTATAATCACTGAGGCCATCAACCAACCCCTGTCAGAATTAAGGTCCGACTTATTGGACAAACTCATTCAGACGGTTGGTGGCCTTCTTTTTTACACTC